CCTACCTCCAATACTGACGGGTTTCTCCTTCGAAAAGCAACTCTCCTTAGGAAAAGCCAAATAGCTTCCTTGGAACATAAAGTCACCTCATGTAGCAAATTCAGCTCTTAATAAGGCACAGAGTATAAAGTATAATGTTAGGCCACTTCTAAAGTCTTCTGGCTTATATTTATAAATGTGAGAGCTACTCTTATTGGAAATACCATGGCAATAAAGGCCCTGCTTGAAATTGCTTCTGGAGTACAAGAATTAAACAAAGCCCCTTATATGACTGCACATTAATGTGCATTATTTCTTCAGATGATGAAAGTGCGCTCTTGAAGGCTGCGCCCAACCTTCCTTGGGCACTGGCTTGCGTTTGCAGTTGCCACGTCTTGTGTCGTGCCCACTAATTTGGGCACAGACATAAATATTTGGAGCCATTCTTCTTTTTTTCCATCAAAAGCCCCACGTTTACCATTCAGATGCAAACTAGTGAAGTCAGATATTATGGATCAAAGTCCACCCACCTATTTTTATACCCAGGACATCCAGGGGTGCTTGTGGACTGATGACAGACATATCCAGGACATGCAGGGGTGCTTGTGGACTGATGCCAAATAGCACCTTCAGCAACTGATGCCGTCAGGAATCGGTCAAACCGCAGCAGCCCCAGTCAATGCCCAGTTGCCTTCACTTTGGCGCAGTGGCAGAGTCCCCTAGGCTGGGGAGTGGGTGGACAGGGTTTCGGTAATGGAAAGGGATGCTGTTGCAGGAGATGCAGAAGATGGAGCAGTTGCAGGGCTCAGAGAGGAGAGGACAGACCCGGCTGTGGGGTTGAGAACCAATGTTGCAGATCCCCAGCACCGTACCAGGACCCCCAGGGCAGCCAGACGGCCCCTCGTCTGCACTGGGAGTGACAGCTGAAGCCAGAAAAATGAAGGAATTCAACAGGAGACATTTCCCATCCTCCCAGGGAAGCAACGGGGGGTGGAGGGATGACGATCAGGCCTTATTGCCTCTCCCCAACGCTGTCTCCGCTCCACATTTCCCACAAATTTCCCTGCCACCTGTTCTGGAGAGACTGCTGATTAGCCCTAGGGTCCCCTCCTACAGATCTCACCAATAAACCACCGGTGGCTGGAGGTAACCTTTTAAATGGCACCTTTTTATAGCTTATGAGCTCTGTTTTTCCTCCGGCCACAAGCGAGCTGCATGAACACCACCCGGAGCAAAGTGAGACGGAAATATAGGTACGTGCACAAAATGAGGGCAGGAGACCAACATCCTCAGGAACAGATCTAGGGATAAACCCATGAGCGTGCTGTGCCATTATGGGAGCAAAGGAAAGAAAAGGGCGGGGGGAAGAGGAAAAAAGGTGATGAAATGCTTCAAGAAAAAGCAATATATTTTTATGTACTTGTAAAACCCATTGGCAGGGGCTTTTCTGGTTAATTGCTTTCATCTTATTAAACTAAAAACCTATTTGTAGCAGCCCGACCCTTCCGAGCGCAATTCCAGTTCCTGCTGCACCCAAAGCCGGCATAGCGCCTCGCCAGCAGAAAGCGAAGCAATGCAACCCCAGGCCCGTCGGCTGGAAAGCAAAACCTTTGCCACGCCGGGCAGAGGGGGACTGAGCTCTCAACTTCTGCAAACCGCCTCCTGAAGATGCCAGCCCGCCTGGGGCAATCGGATCAACCTTCCCGCCTGACTCAGTCCTTTCCTACCTTCCTCTGAACTTGCCAGACTCAGTTGCTTTCCCCTCTTTAGGCCACTCCCGTTCATTAAATAGTCCCTCTGTCTCACTTGCCAAAAACCTGCCAATGGGCCCCTCGTTTTTACAGAAGAATAGCCCCGTTTTTACCAATGGGAAAGAGCCTCTAATGTACCATGGACAGAGTACAATGAAGCATGGTAATCTGCCTGCGTTAATGATGCTACTCCACATTGCTCCGCACAAACAAAATCTTGAACGGCTAAATGACACCCGGTCCTTCCTGATCGTGCTGAATATGCAAACAGGAGAAGCGCCACCGAGCTCCACACGCTGCGGGGTCAAAGAGCCTGCCATGTCCCACGTTTCCAGATGTAACCAGAAACGCCGGGTAGAAAACCAGCCAAGAAGTGCAAATGATTTAAAAATCAGTGAATAATAAAAACGGCGACTATTCAGAATCGCACGCCCCTGTTGTCATACGCCATCACACGTGTGCCCACACGTATAGGTATATGCAACTATTGCTCCGCACGGTGGAAGCATCATTGCATAAGTAGAAATAAAATCTGTGACACGTTATTAAAAGAACAAAGACCAAATTATAGCTAGGAAAAACTCAACGGATATTGTCTTCTGACACCTTTGCTTGACTTTTCCAAGATGAGCCTGTCTCTGGAGATGGCCCAACTCAACCAAGCACTTAGCGCCTTTGCTAAATTCATCCTGGGAAGTACTTCACACCCTCGATCCCCGCCTCGGGAGGGCTCGGCACATCTCCCGATTCCAGCCTCAGGGTCATGTGGCTGTTGGTTGCTCAAAGGCGATGCCTTCTCTTGCTCAAGAACAACAATCAATCGGACAAACGTTGCGCTCAGATAGACAAGGGTAAATATGGCACAAAAAAACCCTGATATGACAGAGGGAGTAAATGTGGAGAAACAGGCACCAACGCGCTTGAAGAGGAGAAGCTGCTTAGTGCACTTACTATCTCGACAAGTCTCACTGCATTTACAAAAACTGAGCAACGATGTTTGTAATTCGACTCATGCGAATCAAGGAAATAGTTGCTATTTTTATGACGGGAATTTTCATTCTCAGGCACTTCGTTAAAACCAGATGCAGCGCAGCTTTTGACAAAGGCCTTGGCAGAGTCGAATTGGACCATATACTGATATACGTTCCTAGGACTTGGTCCTCTTCTCACGTATATTAGTGTAAAACAGGAGTAAATGTACTACGCTCAATGGAGCTCCTGCAACGTAGAACTAGTGAAGTGGGAAGCGAGCCCCCATAGCTTGGGACAATCTCTTTAGCCATTTTTAATGAGTAATGGAGGGTATTTTAGGACCTTAAAAATGGCTGAAGTCATCTGTAAGCTCTTCATTACTGCCAGTGAACATTAACTTCTGCCAGAGAGGTTTCTAATGATTACTCACTGTACAGCGCAGCATTTGGTGGCTGTATCGTATGAGCAGCTTTTCTTAAGACAACCATAAAGGTAAAAAAAAAAAGAAACGCTTTAGGCCTCTTTTAATACGTGTTTACTCAACAACCCAGAACAGCATTGAAGAGCAGTGTTCGAGTCCGGCACACAGCACGTTAAAGGTTCCCCAACATGTTTTATTGCTAAGCCTTTCTTTGCTTGATCCAATTTTTTATAAAAATCCCTCTTTTAGACTAAATGAAATAAATTCTTACGTTTCCTGGAGGAATCATTTGTGTGCCCTTCATTCTGAGTCCCATTTTTAGGCCTTGGTAAGTTGAGAGTGTGACTTCACTAGCAACGTATAATGTATATAAATGTGAGAGCTATTCGTATTGGAAATACCACGGCAAGAAAGGCCCTGCTTGAAATTGCTTCTGGAGATAACTGTGGGGGAAAAAAAACCAGGGTGATCCCAGGGCAGGCCCCATGCTTCGGTCTTTACTCAATCAAATTGCAACTGAAGACAAATCCTCAGCCCAGGACTCCAGGATCTAATCCATTATTAACACTTTCCTCACATAGGGTCCCAAGGAAAGCAAATGAAAATTGTGTGCATGAAACAGCTGCAGGGTCAGGTGCAATCCAGAGTCTACTAGCTGGGTGTCAGGTAGTGCCCAATTAGGCTCTCAGTGTAACCGCTAAGGGGCATATAGCAGCATACACAACACAACTATACCTCTAAAGGTTGATAGTAGCACCTATATATTTTATTTAATCTGGAGGGTTTTTATAGTTCTATTATTGTCGGGTCTTTTCCTTGAGCTCTTTCCCATTCGATCTCCCGGAGAAAAAAAAAATAGCCGCAGCTATTGATTAAATCACAATTTTCAGTGGCTGGTGATTGAGTTATACAATACCACCTGCGGAAAGCCATCAGCCACAATTGAAATGAAGGGTGGAATTAGTGCTCTTTGTTGCAGACAGTTTGGATGTTGAATATTTGACTGAACTAAATGGGGAATTGAACAAAGCAGAATGAATTGATTAGAAGGCGCTACAGAAAGCACAGGAAAAACAAAATCACAAAAACACACAGTTAACTAATTCACCCCGAAATTAGAGTTGGGACCAGCCAATAAACAACAAGAGGAAATTTCCTTTTATAACACTCTCCAGCCCAGGACTAACAAGTCTGACTCAGTTTGTGTCACACACAGATTTTTCTGCCAGGCAAAGGGAAGGACGTTTCTTGGTGGAGCAGGATCTTTTTTCCAGCAGGGAAGTTACTTAGAAATGCAACATAAATCTCAGGCTGCTTGCCCAAAAGTGCACATCCTCCTCCCAAAAAGGAGAGTAAAACTGCAGCAGAGGTCCAATTCTGGCACAAAGACAGGCTGACCAGCTCGGTTAGCGCGGGAACAAACCCAAAGTCAAATTCATTCCCGGTATAAGACCACCTTCTCCTGCCACTGCAGGGTCCCGTGCTATCCCAGCCCCTCGGTTCACCTATGAGCACCTCAAAGGCCTCCACTTCCCTGTGCCTGGGAACGCCAGGCCAAATTTTGGTGCCGAATCCTTGCATTCGCTTCACCTAGATATTAGCACTACATTTTCACTGTTACCTATCTGTGGCCTTTCCAGCAATACTGACGGAGGTGCCGGGCATTTTACATCGAGCTAAAGGAGAGGACATTTAAACTGCACAAGCCCTTCCCTTTCCATTTCAGAACTTCGAGATCTTAAAGGTTTTTCCTTTTAAGCTCCCTACAGGTAGGATTTCAGAAAGAGAAGGCAGGATCTAACAAAGACCAGGAAAGGATATAACCACAGGGTTTTTCAGGGGTTTTTTAAAGTTGCAATAGTGTCTTAAATACTTACTGCTCAGCATCACTGGTGTGTCATAGTCAAATTCATGCCCAGGGGAAATCCTGTTGTAACCTGAGGGAAAGACCAGAAAAAGTGGTTAGTCTGGTGATGACATACAATGCTACACCTCTGCAGGACGAAGCAGACATTAGCAAAGAACTTTTACCTAAAAAAAATCTCATTTACAAAACAAAAAAGATCTTGTATTTTACATTTCAGGCAATAGAGCAGGGCAAATACTGCAGTAATATTTCTACCGACATTTAGGTTTAAAAACGTGATTGGACTCCACTCCGTTTTTTGCATTTGTTTTCTACAAACATGCCGGCCAGCATATGCAGTAGAAGGGTTGCAAGTCTGTGGAAAAGCCATTTTTTGCAAGAAAAGACTGTGTTTGCTATTATAGGGAGCCATGATCATGGTATCTGAATAGCCTCCGCCAGAACATGCTCCTGTCAGAGGAGACATGAGATAAGAAGTGCTGCTATCCCCATTTTACAGATGAGGAACTGAGGCAGGGAGTTATTAAGTGATCTGAGAAAGCCTGTAGGGGCCTGTTGACAATAAGCAACCAATAATTTTTACTGTTATTTATCTGTTATTTAGCTTTAGGGCCCAGAGGCTTTATCTAAGTGGGATCCCCTTTGCCCTTGGCACTGAACGAAGACAGTAAACGACGGTCTCTGCCCCACCCGGCTCACAGTTCAAACAAAAAGAGGCTGAGGAGATAAACAGGAGGGCGAGGAAGACGACGAAGGGAGGGAAAATTATAGGACATTTGGCACATTTTAGCAGTAGGAAGTTAGCCACGTGGAACGCCTCCTGATGCCCTTACCACACCGAACAATACTTTGTTGGATAAAGTGTCCCACTGAACACAATAGGATTTCCCTAAATCGGGAGTAAACCATACAACCCCCGGGCTCAAGCCGGCTCATGGAAGAGTTGCATCTGGCCCACAGGGACTCCGGCTGGTGACCGGGAGTCGGGAAGTGGGGCTGGCATAAGATGCAGCCTGGAAAGGTAGCAGAATCTGGCCCTGGACATTTCTTGCTTACTTCCAACTTCTGATTAGCCTTCCTGCAGAAAAGACCCTAAAGTCGAAGGATCTTAGAAAAAAAGATTCTTAAAGTTCTCAAAGAAACAGGAAAAAAACCCCACAGTCATAATAATCAGAGCACCGGATAACCTGGGAATAACCAGGGAGCGGCAATGACCGAAGAGCCAGTCGCTCTGCTCACCACGAGACCGGAAGCAATTGTTGCCCACAAGAAGCTTCGTGTGCCACGTCGGCATAATTCAGAAACTGCTCTCAAGCCCTTTCTGCAACACTTTAAACCCATAATACACAAACACTTAAACGCCCTTCCTTTTTCCAGCTCCATCGGCATCCTCACGTAGCAGAAACCATACGAGAGGGCATCTCCACGTGCTTCCAGCCTTGGCTAGATCCCAAAGCCTTCAGGGCCTGGAGGAATCACACGAGACGGTCTTGCTCTTTGACACCCTGGCAGCACTGGAGCTGCTGCGAGTCCCCTGTCCACAGCTGCCCTAGGCATCATGGATCCAGTTCAGAAGGGAAGGGATGATGTGCAATAACGCAGGCAGAAGCTACGACACTTTTCTGAAGGCCAGGAAAGGAGGACACTGTGCAACCTTTTTGGCCTCTTCACCAAAGACCTCCCCATCTCTTTCTCCCACCACCTGCAATCTAACCCCAACCTGCACAGATCCTGGGATGCTTTCAGGCACAGACAACAGTCCACTTGCCGGTTCATCAGACCAGGGGTGCTCAACCCCCAGCCTGCACGCCAGATCCAGCCCCCGGGGCCGTGTCATCCAGGTGCACACTACATGGGGCACATGGAGCAGCAAACACCTCAATCCCGGTGCACAGGGGCCTGGCAGGGGTGGCACAGGGCCCTGGAGCCTGATCCCAGCTGGGCAGGTAGAGCAACGGTGCCAACCGTACGCCCAGTGCACACCTGCACAACACATGCCATCCTGGCTAGCACTCCAGGGACATCCTAGCCTACAGCCTAATTTGCTAGAGCTTGAAGTAAGCAGCCAAGCCTGCGTAGCTAGGGCTGTGACAGGTTCCTGTGACCTACGGATCAGGCCCAGAGAAGGACGTGCGCCACAGGTCACCTGTGGATTACACACACTTCTCCCAAGGTTCAGAAACGGATCAAATGCCACCGAGGGCAGGACATCACACTACAGAAAACTGCCCAAAGGAGAGGCAGCTCAGGTCTAATGGGCTGGAAGTCAACGGACTGGGTTCATCTCCCATCTCCACCACTACCTCGTTCTAGGACTATAGGCAACTTGTTTGCCCCTTACCCCTGGTTTCCTTTTTGCAAAAACAGGGTATTTATTACTGCACACCTTTGTGAAACACTGTGCAAGCAAGGGAAACCAGGGTCAGACTTGATGACAGGGGGTCGGACTCAGTGATCTAATAGGTCCCTTCCGACCCTAAAAAAATCTATGAAATCTATGGGAAAAAAGCCCTGTAAGCATCTTAATGACCATGAACGGTTAATATTAGACTAGAATCGACCTAGGTCCCTCATCACCTTGGCATCTGCTTACCTTTCAATGACAAAGCACTTTATCCTCACATCTCCCAGAATGCTAGCTCCGTTTTGTGAACGGAAAGCCAAGGAAGAAAATGGATCAAATGCCTGACCCAAGGTCACACTGGAAGACTGTGTCTAAGTCAAAAACTGAACCCAGATCTGCTGAAACTAAAGCTATTCCCCTAGCCACTACCCCCCTTCATTCCCTTCAATGACTTAAAAGCTCAATTTAGAGCCAGTGAAGTTACAGGCGTACACACTTAATACTGAGCCAAAAAGTTTACATTTGCTGGCTGTGATATTTTCTGCTACAACCTCCATGACATTTAAACACAGATCTGTGGGTTTTAATCTGCAGTGAAAAAAGCCCCATGTCATGTTTGGGCTACTACAGCAAACCACAAGAAGATACGGTAACAATGTCAACATTTCCTTTTCCAAATTCATCCGTCTCTGAAACCGTTCGGTGTTCTGCTCACAGCCCTACCACAGATCCCCCACGCTTGCCACTTCTTTGCATAGCAAGAAATCACGGAAGAGCCAAAAAACCAGTCACGGCTCATCAACAGCCGTGATCCCACGCAGTAGATCGGTGCGAGTGAAGGGACAGCATGTGGATGCACGCAGAGCTGGAAGGAAAACAGGAGAGCTAGCATGGTTCAAAGATGCACAGCCAACTTCTTGAGCTACAGCACCGGTTCCCAACCCGTGAGTCGTGACACCAAGTGGGGTTGCAACATCAGCGGATGGGGTTGCGATAAACGTGCCCCCTGAGATTTCTGCACCCACAGCGGGGTGCGGGGCTGCAGTTGGGCCGGACCAGCTGCAGCCCAGTGCATGCAACCCATTGTAGGAGGACATGTCGCACCACCGTGGCCACCAAGGTGAGGCACGGCAGTGGCACAGAGCTGTGCCCACGCTGCTGCCGGGTAAGCAGGGGGCATCTCAGCTTGGCAGTCATGGCGGCGCGTGGCACTCCCTTTCTCCCGCTCCAGGTCCTGCCCTCCCCAGGGGCAGGACAGTAGGGCAGGGAGCCCCAAGCCTGCAGCGGGCAGCTCACAACCATCCCTGTCCCCCATGGGCTCCACTTCAGCTGTGCTGCCCACAGTGGAGGGGACGGGGCAGGGGGAAGTCGGGCTCTGCACCGTGCTCTGGCTGCAGCAACCGCCACCTCCTGTGGGTGAAAGCCAGGGCTTAGGCACTGCTGGAGGGGTCAGGGGGCTGTGCACCCTGGCCCTGGGGCACCTGGGTGGGGTAGGGGGCTGTGGGTGGGGAGTGAGGGGTACCCAGGGGCGTGGGGGGCTGTGGGTTGGGGGTGAGGGGCCATACTAAGGAAATGGGGTCATACATGGGGTCACGCTGAGGAACCACTGATCTACGCTAAGTTTTGTAGATCACCGTCTACACTAAGTTTCATTGCATGGTTTTGTTCTTGGGATTGTACTCATTCGTCCTGGCGTGGCTCGCCAAAGTGGGGTCTTGGGAATCGGAAAACATCCCAACTGCAGAGGCAAGGTGCTAATAGATAATAACTGAAATGGGCCACTAATTTAAAGCAAACTGAGTTTGGACTGTGAATAAGATCTCAGTCCTGAGGTCTGCACTTTGACGTATTGTACACATGGTCAAAACTTAAGAATAACACACTAGCTGGAGAAAGAAGACGCAAGTAATGCATCTCATCCTGGTTTTGAGGATTCGGGGCTCTTATCCAGCTGCAAGGGTGAGTAAGGAAGGACTAAGGATTTCTCCACATCCTTCGCTGCCATGCAAGGGCCTGCCACAGTTGCAGCCCAAGTGCTTCAGCTGATGCTCGGTCCCCGTGAAGAGTGGGGCAGGAAGTAAATAGACCGGGGAGGAGAGTACATATAACCATAACTCACCCCCCCAGCCGATGGAGCTAGATGCCACGCACCAGATATGAAATGGATGGACACTCCCAACTAGACATGGATGTCACTAATTACTTTTCCCACCCAGTTGAGCCAGGAAGCCCAGAAACGAACATCTCCAAGGCATAATTCTTTCTGACGCTCTCCCCAGCAACAGCTATGTCCTGGCACTTGCTATAAGCTAACATGCAAAAAAGGCACAGACTAAACCAGAACGACGATTCAAAAATGATCTGAAAAACAATTAAGATGCTTACATTTAAAAAAAAAAAAATCTTTGAGAGTACCAAAATCCAAACATACCCTGGAAGCAAAGTCTATTCCTTTATGAACTTTTCCACGTCTCTCATGAATTTGATGGACGCCCTTGCATAAAACATGAGATAAGAGCAGGCTTGTTTTCTACCCTGCATATCTGAGATGGTATCTTAGATACCAGTGAAAGCCTGAAGGCAGGTCTTGGCTCCTGATCCCTTTCTTTTAAACATTTTTGGAAAGTTAAAGATGCCTTTGACACAGAACTGATGAGAAATGGGGAGTTATCTGTGTCACTCTGGGTACCGTGCCAAACCATCTGGAGAGGCCGTCATATTTTTAA